TTCCGGCCCGAAAGAAAAATTGCCTTTTCGCCCGAAAATTTTCGGTGGCCGAAATTTCGGTGCACCCCTATTTTTTTCTGAAGTAATTTTTTAAACCAAGATGTTATTTTACACTCACTACATACAATGAAATGTTTTTGTCATGTGTTTGTATATACAGTATGTCAGTACAAGGTTAAAAAGACTTCATACTGTAAAATGTTTGTACACAATTACTGAAGACAGTGGAAATGACCCTGTGGATTCACAGCTGTTTGCAGCTGACCCATCCTAAATACTGAAGCAAAATCTGGGACATGTCGTCCCTCAGTATTTTCAGAGTAGCGCTTATTTTTGCAGGGAGGTGTCAGTCGTTCCAGTGATGGAAGATTATCATCTGACTGCTGGATGTTTAACTCTGATGTTTTATTAAATATGACAGATATGGAGAAAACGGCACCATCTCTCTGGCCGGTTTAAAGCGTCTGTTACAAAGCGTGGGGTTGGATCGCAACAGGAGTGTTATCGTGCAACATCATGAGCAACTGGGCCATCACCATCACCACCATCACCGCCATGTCCATGAGAACAATGACTCACACCAGCAGAAACACATCCATGCTGAACCCTCTCGGTTCATAAGGTCCCCAAAGACTCCAGAGGTCTCCAGAGATCAGAATGGCACACTGGGAAGGAAAGAGGAGAATCCCAGTAGTCAGTACGACAAGAAGACAACGTCGGTGGCTCAGGAGGTCAGCACCACGGTGGTGTACAGCGCCCAGCTGGTGGTGGAACCCGGTAAGAGACATGATTTCAGTCCAGAAGAATCCAGTCCTGCAGGGGAGGACACCACTGCTGCCAGACTGGTCACGGAAAGCCAGACGCTGGGAAATGCAGTGAGCCAAGGGGATGATCACACCCATGAGCACGAACACGATGGTATGGACCAGGACCTTCTCCACAACCGCAGCCACGATGGTGTAGAGGTATTAGCTTCTAATTTCATCTGAAAAGTTTTCATTTTTGTGTCAATTTAAGTTCTGATTTTCTATAGCAACACCAACAAACACTGTGCTGCCACTAAAATGGGAAGACGGGGGTTTATCACCTGAAGCCTTTCATAGTCCATACTGAATCTCATGAGGTTTACTTTTCATTGTTAGGAAGTAACTAAAAGCTAAAGTAACTGTAGCCTCAGTTTATGTCCCTTGTGTATCTGCACACATTCAGGTCACCGAGGTAACCATCGGTTTCTCTACAGGTTAAATAACTTTAGTCCTGTGGAGGGCCTGAAAAGACGTGATGTATGCGTGTGTGTACACACCGTGAACAAGCGCGGTTGTTGAGTCTGTCTTTCTCTCCAGTGCGTGAACGCGTCCAGCATCCTCTCCTCTCACGGGATGTCTCAGGAGGTGGCTGTGACCCTCACAGACTTCAGCTACCTCTGCCCGGCGCTCCTCAACCAAATCGACAGTGGCGTATGCTTCCTGCACGGACACTCCTCCAAACACGGGGACAGAGGTGGGAATAAACTGTTCAGCCAACTGCTGATGTCTTGCTTTTTAAAACTTATGTCAACGTGTCGGTCAAGCAGGAAAATATTACAGAAAGCAACACCGGCACTGTTTTAAACACGTCGAGGCTGAAGAGACTCACATCACCTGGGCTTCCTGAGGGAAACGTTATGTGAATGTGCACAGTCTACAGAACTAGTTACTAGTTATGGCCTGAATAATACCTGACTGGTTGCACCTTCTCTGGGAGCTTTTTAAGGTTTTATTTTGTATTAACTGACAGTGAAAATGAAGCGGCACTCTTAATTAGACCTTCTTTATATTTTCAGTGATTATAGGTGAATCTTGTTCGGTGGATTTAATAAATTCAACTTTAAGAAATCTAAGTGTTGGAAAATAATGTAGTGGCAGACTGACAGACTGAACCTACTGTCAGCTGGTCATCTCAGACATCTGACTGGTAGCCTGGAGTGTTACGGTGCACTGTGACAATCCTGATTTACCAGTTTACACTGGTGACACCCTTGCAGCTGCCAGCAGTTTTTGTTTCTTTTTACCTACTACACATTTATTTTTAATTGGTTCAGTTTGGGTTTTGTATTTTTATGCGAGAAAACCTGATTGATTTAATCTCTTCTTTTGTTTTCAGAGCGTAAACACCAGAAACACACTCACAATCACTATGGCGAGCACAGCCACTCGGACCACGACCACAGCGAGCGCTCCGCTGGAGAAACTGGCAAAAACATCACAACAGGTAACATCATAAATGTCTGAATTTGTGGTTAGACTGTTGCCAACTAGTCTCTGGTAAACGACTTTGGCTTTTCAGTTCCACATGATGTTAATAAGTCGCCTTTCAGAAGTCTCAGATGAAGCTTGTGTGTTGCAGCGTGGGTCGGCGGCTTCGTCTCCATCACAGTCATCAGCCTGCTCTCCCTGCTCGGCGTCATCCTCATCCCGCTCATGAACAGAGTCTTCTTCAAGTTCCTCCTCAGCTTCCTGGTGGCGCTGGCTGTCGGCACGCTGAGCGGCGACGCCTTCCTGCACCTCATCCCCCACGTGAGTCAACGAGGTGCCGGATGTCCAGTGGTATACGGCGACTCCTGGTCCATACCACAACAATGTCGTTATTATCAGTCCTGCAGTGTGAAATTAAAATGGTCCTGATACAAAACATGAAGCGTTTTAAGGTGGCCACACTTTCACATTTGTTTTGAGTCTTAACTTCTGCTCAAGGAACTTTATCTTTCAAGTCGTTCTGCTATCAAGACCCCTTATCACTGCTCTTTTATTTATTTGAAAGACCAGGTTACATCAGGTTCAGACTCAGTTATGAGTGGGAATTTGTGCTCGGACTGTTATTTTTCTGACATCTACCTCGTCTCATTCGTGTCTTGATGTTTTTACTCTGCGGTTGCTTCAGTCTCAGGGAGGCCACCATCACCACCATGAGGATTCTGGGATAAATATGGATGGACATCATCTCCACGGTGAGCAGGAGGAAAACCTGGACGCTGTGTGGAAGGGTCTGACGGCTCTGAGTGGAGTCTACTTCATGTTCCTCATTGAACACTTCCTCACGCTGGGAAAAATGTACAAGGACAAGAAACAAAAGGTCAGCGATTCACCAGGTTCTGTTGAGGTTTGGTTGAGGCTTCCGGTCTTCATTCTGATGGGCTAAGATACTTCTGACACTGCAGCAACTCTTCCAAAAATACAAACATTACATCCAGATAAACACTCAGGACAACAGTTAACTGAATGAACTGTGATATGACACAGGAAGCTACACAAGAACATAAACTGACTAGAAAATACTGTTGAAAGCCGAACAATTTATTATATAAATTGGAAAAATCTGATTTAAAGATGAAGTCAATAAGACTATGAATCTGACCAGCCTATGCAAACTTTATGCTCAGAGTACTGCTACCAAGTATTCCACAGTACCACATAAAATCCTGCCGACACAGTAGTAAGGTCAGTAGACATACTGGTCTAAATGATAAGATGGAGACATGAGGTTCAGTGTCGCTGACCGTCGTTGTTCAAACTAAAGTAAAAATCAGATGTTCCTGCCATCAAACAGGTCCAGAAGAAGTGGGATCGGTACGACAAAGCAGGTTCTGAGAAGCAGCCAGCGTTGGAAGAGAACGACACGAAGCCGAATGAAGGTGAGATGCAACACTAAACACATACCGGAGGTATCTGAACTTTCTCTTCCAAAACCACAACAGGGTCCAAAACGTCTGCTCAAATTTAAATCAAAGCACAGCTGAGAATAAATACAGGAAAAGCTGATGGTTTGACGTCCATCGATGGCACAGTTGTACCACCCTTTTTTATCCATGAGGCTTTTAACAGACCAGATTCCAGTTTTAAATGTCAGTGTGTCTGTCGCACTCTGATTCTGAACAAGCGTAGCATTCTCTATCTTTATTCTCTGCCTGCAGACGTGGAGACTAATGGTGGCGGTACATTTGCCGACCTCTCGAGCAGCGTGGTGGAGGAGGAGCAGGTGATGTTGGCACCGCAGGTGTCTGTCGTCTTGCCACAGGGTTATGGCCAAGCGTCAGGAGCTGCGGCCTACACCGCCGAGGACTGTGAGAACAAATGCCACTCTCACTTCCATGACACGGTGGGCCAGACTGACAGCATGCACCACCACCACCACGATTACCACCACATCCTGCACCACCACCACTCCCAGAACCACCACCCACACAGCCACTCCCACTCCTACTCAGAGCAGCACTTCCAGCAGGCTGGCGTGGCCACGCTCGCCTGGATGGTCATCATGGGAGACGGGCTGCACAACTTCAGCGACGGCCTGGCTATCGGTGAGGAGGTGTTCAGTCAGGGCTGCAAACTCATGCTTTCAGACGTTAGTGTGCTAACATGTCAAGTGGGTGACTGAAACACTGGCAGAGACGATAGAATCACGTTAGCTCATTCTGTTAGTCCAGTAGCAGTGATGACGGAGACCTGTGTTTCTACAGGAGCTGCCTTCACCGAGGGTCTGTCCAGTGGCCTCAGTACGTCTGTGGCTGTGTTCTGTCACGAGCTGCCTCATGAGTTGGGTAAGATTCCTCTGCCCGCGCTGGTGGCGCTAACCATAACACCACATTACTGTTGTACAAAAACATAATGTAATTTGAAAAAGATGTGGACAAGCTTTTACGTTTTCATGTAATGGAGACACTGTTTCTAAATCAAACGTATCTTTAGAGTATCTGTACTCAGGTTTGTTGTACGTCACTCAGCCGCCGTTGGGAGATAACGGTTTCTTCTATTTCCCAGGTGACTTTGCGGTGCTCCTGAAGGCCGGTATGACGGTGCGTCAGGCCATTCTGTACAACGTTTTGTCGGCCATGATGGCCTACTTAGGCATGGTGACCGGTATCGTGATTGGACATTACGCAGAGAACATCTCCATGTGGATATTCGCCCTCACAGCCGGGCTCTTCATGTATGTGGCTCTGGTGGACATGGTGAGTCGATGTTTGCTCGGTGTTGTCTCATTGTTGTCATCCAGTCAGCAGCATCTGTGCTGTCGACTCAGCAGCTCTCGACCTCAGTCTGACTCTCGGTGGTGCTTCAGCTTGGCTTGAGAGCAGGGCCATGACATCCAGATGGCCTCTTCTCACACATGACCAATGAATACAACAGGAAAGTACATTTGCAAATGCAGAAAATGCTGACCTCTTGTGGCCACCAGGTGAAATCCAAGGGTCCGTCCTGCAGTCAGCTGGGTTTAGCTGACCCCCCTCATTTGTACACATGATAGTATATCACATTCTCTCTGAATGTCGTCAGCTGCAAAAAGGGACTTCATCACTCGACTGCTTGCAAAATCTCTTGGGCTGCTCCGTCCTGATTATTCTTGGCGACAATTAAGCTGATAACACGAGCACTAAGTGCAAAAACAGGCATGTTTTTAAAATGCAGGATCCATCCATCCATCCATCCATTTTCTTCCGCTTATCCGGGGCCGGGTCGCGGGGGCAGCAGTCTAAGCAAAGATGCCCAGACCTCCCTCTCTCCAGACACTTCCTCCAGCTCCTCCGGGGGAAT